GGGGTTGGCCGTGGGAGTGCCCGCCGGTGTCGTAGACGCAGTGTTATTTCCGCCAAATGCAAAGTTGAAAGCGGGAGCAGGTGTCGGGGCGGCGGGTGTGGTACCCGTCGACGCCTCTGCTGGCTTGGGCGTACCAAACACCGAAGCAGCAGGGGTGGCGGCAGGGGTAGCACTCGGGCTCGAAGTCGCACCGAACATAGCGGGATTGGCTTGTAACCCACTAGCAAACGGCGAAGGCGTAGTAGCCTTACTTGACGGACCAAACGCCGAGGGACCTGACGTCCCCGCTCCGCCCGAGTTAAACGCAAACACACTCTTCTTCTCTCCCTCAGCGTTTGCCGTCGCGCTCGGTGCAGTGAATCCAAACGCCGGCTTGTCACCTGCAGGCTTCGGTTGCGCGAACGAAAACGCCGGCGCAGCGGTTGTGGCAGCAGCAGGAGTAGAAGCCGGAGCAGCGGGCGTGTTGGCATTCGAATTCGTCCCCGTTCCCGGACCAAGCGCATTTGTCAACGACGACGACGAGGTCGTCGAAGCTGCAGCAGCCGCAGCAGGCTTGGCAGCAAAAGCGAAATTGAATTTCGGAGCCGTCACAGCGCCGGCCGGATTCGCCGCCGGTGCTGCTTGGGGCTGCGCCTGAGCCTGAGGCGCAAACACCGAGGCGGGCTTGGCGGGCTGCTGCTGTTGCTCAGCAGGCTTGAACGAGAACGGCGACTTAGCAGGCTCGGCTTGTTGTTGTTGAGGGGCTGCAGTGAACGGTGACGGCGACGGTTTCACTGGGTCACCAGCGGGCTTGTTATTCATGAACGAAAATTTAGGCGCAGCCGTCGTTTCTGCAGGTTTAGGAGCGGGAGCCGCGGCGGCCGCCGTCGGGCCCATTCGCGATAGAAGCGACGACGCGGGAGCTGCAGCCGGTGCCGGGGCAGCCTGCTTGAAAGAAAACAAAGGTGTACCACCGGTTCTAGCATTAGCAGCTGCAAGCGCAGCTGCTTTCTCAGCCTCCTCCGCCCGCCTCATCTCCTGGGTGATCAACGTAGCAGGTCCCGCATTCCTCTCTGCGTTGGCCTTAGCCTCTGCCTCACTCATCCAGAAGCTAGGTGTTGTCTGAGTGGTATTAGCACCGGGGTTGGCAGGAGCAGGAGGCGCCCAAGAAGCCGTCGCGGGTTTCGGTGCAGGTGCAGCAGAACTTGGCTGTTGTTGTTGGGAAGTAGGAGGCTTGGCAGCAAACGGATTTTGAGCAGGGGTAGGGGCTGGGGTAGAAGCGGATTGAGGCGCAGCTGGTGCTGAAAAGAAGTTGGGAATAGATTGTTGAGGTTTGTCTGCCGATGCAGGCGGCGCAAAAAGGTTTGTGGCAGGCGGCTGAGGGTTATCTGCAGGGGCCGACGGTGCTGATAACGCCTTAGAAGGCTCGGCAGCAGGCGTAGAGGGCGCAAGACTAAACGACGGCACCTGAGGGGCGGCGCTAGATGTAGAAGGAGTGAAAGAGATCGCAGGTGGTTTGGCTGGCTCAGCAGGCGTGAGCGAGATTCTGGGAATAGCCGCAGCCTCCTTCTTCTCCCTCTCCAACCTCTCCTTAAGCTCCTTTTCCTTCTGCTTAGCCTGATTTGCCTCCCGCATCTTCATCATCGCCTTCGCCTCCAAATCCTGTTTCTCCCATTTCGAGAACGTTCGTCGAGCCGCAGGCACTTGCGCAGCAACGCTATTCGTGCTGTCCGCAAGTCCAGGCAGCGCGGGAGAGGCCGCGTCTCGCCCTGCCCCAACCCGACGTCCATTCCGCAGACTACTTTTGCCGGCTTCGGCCCCGACGTGGAGAGCATTCGCTTTGTCGAAAGGGTTGACCCGCATACCTACATCCGTTGCAATGGACTGCCGGAAATGAGTCTGAGGACGGTGCTGCTCCTTTTCAGCCGGACTGGGAGCGAATACGGGGAACGGCGAGGCGGGTGAATCCCAGAGCAGATTTTTGCCACGAGTGGCAGGTGTGGGGGTAGAAGGCTATACGAATCGTTGGACAAGGACTCACAAAAGAGTGCGAGATTCACATACCATTTCAGCAGCAGGAGTAGGCGGATTGCTCTCCGGTTCTTGCGTCCCTTTAGGAGAATCTTGCCAAGCAAGAAGGTGTCTACTCTTGAGGTCCTTGTACTCTTCTTCGGTTAACCAAGTTTCAATACAGACTTCGAGATTGGCAGTCTTGTCGGGGTGCTGGGAGTCCATGGGCTATCATGAGGTTAGATATCGAGTATAATTAAAAAGGAAGACAGCCTACCATGGTGAACCTCCGAGCCGCCTTCTTGACCAAGGCTTGTCTCAATCGTTGACCGTTGGCCCCAATCTTGTACAGGACACCATTGCTCTCCCATTGATCGCCTATGGCCCGCGGTTTACCTTTGGACGCATCACCAGCTTCCTCGTCATCATCCTCTCTAACCTCCTTGGTCTTCTTACCCCGCTTCTTGGTCTTACGGGAAGAACCTTTCGAAGTCGCCGGTGTACCATCCTCGCCCTCGCTACCTTCCTCCTCCTCTCCGTCCCGATCGCGTTTTTGACCACGAGAACTCGACGGTGCCGGCGCAGACTTGACCTTACCGCTGGACCGTCGCTTTCGCTTGGTCTTCTTGGCCTGCTCTTCGTCATCCTCTTCTCCTTCGAAACTGGAAACGGCGTCGCGTTTCTTTCCCCGGACGGTGTACGCAGGAGATTCGAATGCATCGACATCCATCTCATCCGCACCATCGTCGCTAGTCATGAAGACATCTGGATTCTCCCTGACCTTGCGAGCACGTTTGCCCCGCGCCCGCCTGCCGCGAGCGACATATTCGTCTTCGTCTATAACATCCTCCTCAACATCTTCGTCGTGTAAAACGCGCTTTTCACCACGCTGCCGAGGCAGAGACCACTCAGCATCCTCATCGCCGTCAATTAATTCATCGCCCTCGACGCGTGTCTTTTTGGGTAGCTCAGCCACATCCGATTCCACTTCGTAGTCTTCAAGAGCACGCTTTTGTTGCTTCCGCGGACTGGCAGTCAAGTTGGTTGCACTGCCACGACGGGGAAGGCTTGCATCTTGTATTTCATCGGCGAAACGAACTACATGTGCAGGTGGTGCAGGGTTTGGATTATACCGTTCAGCAAAATTGGTCTGGAACGAAGACGATCTGGCGAGAGGTGTAGATACAAACTTGAGAAAGAAGGTAGAGAAAACGCACGCTGGAAGTCCACTTGAGGGCGCCGCAAATCTGTTGTCCGGCGCCAGCGGATTATGCCTCCCGGGTAAACCGCTTATAGCACCTTTTGTCCAAGTTGGAGGAGATATACGGTACATGTCTGTGCGGGCGTTGGCGTTAGATAAGACTACGACGGAAATAGACCAACATACTTTTGCGCTGCCGAATATCTGACTCAACCGGTGCAGCACGTCGATCGGCTTCTGCATACAGCTCATCGACGTCAACTCGGTTATTGGAGACTTCCTTCTCGCGGCGTGCTCGTAAGACCGCAGCATAGGCCACATTGAACGGGCGGTGGTCCGAGTCGGGAATACCGTGTTGCCTTCGCATTGACCTAGATTATGCGCGTCAGAGACAAGACGACGTGTGCACTTGGACAGACTCACAAACGATAGGATTTTTCGCGCCATTTCAAGAGTTCAGTCCAACCGCGCACTGCAGCCACATAGACGCCAAGGAGCACAACGAGACATATGGTGATTTTGAGGTAGCCAGACCATTTTGGAGAGCTAGGAGTGCGAACAGGGAGCGTGTTGGCGCCTAGAATGTCTGAGGACTCGTAGTCCATGGCGGATAGAAGGCCGAAGACGAGGGCAGCGCGTCTGGTGGTGAGATGATGACGGTAGAAGACAGAGAGCACGACCTCCTAAAAAGGAAATTCGCGTGACTTGTTTACATTTTGCCACCAACTCAGATTTCACTGCTGATCATCATTTCAGAGCCTGCCACCGACTATAGTACAGTGATCTGTCCTCGAATACTGGCCTAGTCGAATTAATTTTCGGCAATTGAGACACCAAACACTCCTTGCCACCAACTCAGATCCTCCCACCTAATAATCTGTCGCCTGGTTAAATTGATTTGCAGCCATTGCCACACAAGAATCACTGTAATGCTCCGAGTCGATCCAGCAATAGACTATAGCTACTGTGTGCGACGAATTGACCATCTCCTCTCTGGGTTTGTCTGCAATATAGACAAGGAAAACGGCCACCCTTCTTGTTTCTCGAGACCATCTCTTGCATTGGCGTTCTAAGGCTCAAGCTCTCTTCTGGACGCTAATTTCGCGATTGCATCTGGTTACAGTATAACTTCCTGCAATCTCGAATCGAGCCGACGGACTTCGAAAAGCGTCAAAACACGTTGTGACTCGTGCCCTCTAAACAGTTAAACTTCCATGGTCTCTATCGCATATAAGCCATGCAACGTTTCCGGCATATGTCTGGAGTACTTCACTGAGCTCCTGCTGCGTCCGTAGATATAGTTCTTGAATTCAGAATTAATGTCACCGCACGAACACGACATACACCACTGCTAGAGAGAGCATCCACGCTGCTCATATCAACATCATTGTGATCTTGTTGCAGAACATGAAGCCGATTCTCGTCTCGCTGTGGTGTCGGGAGGAAACACAATCACTGGCATAAAAAGTGGAGCTTCAGTAACTTACAGTACAGTAGTCCGAGTCTTGACAGACGCGATGTTGAGCAAGTAACCGTTTTCTGTGCTTCCGAGTCGTCAATCTTTTTGTCATCCTGAAACTTTCGTCCGAAATTCGAGATAGGTCCTGCTACGACTTCGAACAGCTCCCACTGTCCCTTCCCCCATACAACCCTGGTGTCAACCCACCAAATCTTCCCATCAATTTCCCCATCAACCGGTGTTACTTCCCATCAAATCTTGATCAAACTCATCAAAAAATGATTCCACCCTTGAAACGCCTTCCTCTGCTTCAAATGGGGTGCAATAAAAGCGTAAAAACGCAGCAAAAATAACCCCACGCGAGACTCGAACTCGCAACCTCCAGATCCCATTTAAAGTCTCGCTTGGGGTCGCAAAAGCACAAGAAATGTAGAAGTCTGACGTCATAACCATTAGACAAGTGGGGCATTGAAAGAGCAGCTATGTGAGAGATATCGACCGGAAGAGCATCTCGTGAGAGTTACATACCTAAATCGGAGTTTCTCGGGGTTTTCAGACAAGTGTGAGAGCCGCATACTAGATGCATCCTTTAGAAGTCAACGTGGGAAGTTGAATAATTGAGTCACGTAAGTATTGGGAGAGCGACATCGGAAACCATCCAATGGTGGTTCCGAACCGGAGGAATGGGGAGGTTGAACGTCGAGTATGACTGCTAGTATCATTACAGTGAAGTTCTATGCGGACCAGACAAAGTATTACTTCATTGCAACACGTGAATGCATTGTTCAAGTTCGATGTCTTGGTAGTTGCAAGATCTGTTGACTGCAAATATCTATCCTTGTTCTAAAATGGGGTTCAGCCTGTACTTTCCCAGACCTTGCTTCCTGGCATATACACTGGCATGCAGGTCAAAGGCAGGATTAAAATTCCCTGAATGTTGACGGCGATCGCCGATAACATTTCAAGAGTCCGGACATTGTTCTGAGTTGCAGTAATAATTCAACGAGGTAACTCAGCTAGACAGTTGAAATCGATTTGATATCTGAACCCCGTCTTACCTGGTAGTACCTATCGTGCTAACTGCGGTTTAATCTTCCCGGGAATGTGGGGATAATTGTGCTGCACACTGAAAACATAAGACAATGCATTTACGTGTTGCAATGAAGTAATACTTTGTCTGGTCCGCATAGAACTTCACTCTAATGATACCTAATAGCAGTCATACTCAATTTCTCCGTTCAGCCAACTAAGTAGGAACCACAATCATGGGAGCGAATGCCGAACTCACTCGCAAAATGCATTTCCGATCTGCCTTACAAGCCTTTGAATTTGCTCTCAAGAAGTCTCGAGCTTTCGAGAGCGTAGTTAGTCTTCAGGAGTAATTCGCACTACGGCGAACTTCCTGTTTGTCTTCATATTGGAACTTGAAAGTGCGGTAACAAAGGAACGGGAGGAGAAGATATTGTGTTCGAGATATGCAGTGTATCTTGCGCGAAGGAATTTCTACCTGCTCGGACTATCGAGCGCAAAGGTTCGATCACCCTTGTTCACTGTCTGGTCCGCTTTCATTTATTATCCCCACGATAGGATGGCAACAGAGAGGGAGGATTCCAGTTTCTATGTTGAGATACGGAAACATCGACACCCCATACCACCGTCAACGACTCGTACTCGCATCGCTCAGGGACGCAGAAGAGCCCATCGTTCTCTGCTGGTCTCGGTCTCTCATCAGAAACAGACACATATACCGGGAGCAGCACGTACAACAACAACAACATAGCTTCTTCAGTCCGGACGAGCCTTTCTGTCTGCTTTGATCCGACTACGATGCGACTTTTCGACTCGTCTCTTAGTGTCGGCAGTTTTGACCAAGTCCTTCACTCGTTGCTTCTGAGCCTCGGAGGGTTCGTTCTTTAACGTGGACGACGACGTTGATATTAGCAATGCATGTAACTGCTCTGAAATGAGCCCAGCTTCGTCTCAGGCCAAACTCAGCAAAAATCAACCTTGGATAGACATTCGTCTATATTGTGCGACTGGGATCGGTGCACTGTTGACGTGATTTGAATAGACTGCGAGGACGATACATAGTGCGGCTGCTCGAGATTGAATGCGTGAAGAGTGTTAATCGTCACATAAACTCACAGATTGCTTCAACGCAGGTTTAGCCCACAACGGTATCCAATGTTCATCGATGCCGCATTTGAGCGTAACTTTGGTGTTGACTTTGTTTACATTCTGAGACGACAATCTTACCAACGAACCGCCATGCAGGGCTCAAGCATACCTGCCCACCGGGCCCCGAGCTCCGCGAGAAAGAAAGTTGCACCGCAGACTTCGGAATCCCGCTCAAAGCACGGAATTGCGCTATCCAAGTGCGAGCCAGTGCTGTCTCCTGCGCCGATTCGACTGTAGTAAGCTGCGGAGGAATCGGAAGATCTTTGTTGCCTCCGGTAGTGTGTGCATTTCGTATCATAAATACGGGGAGTCTGCGAAACTCAGCGCCATGTTGAGTTCTGACATGACGGAGGAGAGAGAGCATGTAACTCGATCATTTCGTAAATGGCACTTTTTCGCACACTGGATTCGCACAAGTCGGCCCGACACCTCAGCTTGCCCTCACCGGGCTTCCTTTCGCGAAAGGCCTGAAGGGCGTGGCTTCAGGGCGCCCGTCATGGGTTCGGGCGATACAAAAATGTATGACGTTTTGCCAGGTCTCCTCCCACCCCCAGAATGGCCTACCAGCGTACCACTCGGACTCGGACTCTCCTCCAGCATTTTCTTGCATCATTTCTCCTCTTGTCGAGGCTCGTATCTGCACAAAATGTCCCCCCATCAGTAATGTCTGCTGGTATTGACCTTCTGGATGCAAGCCGCAAGTGCCCTGTTTACCTTTTTTTCCGTGTCTCATTCTCAATTCCAGATATTTTGCATTTTCTGGAAGTTGTGGACGCGTTCGGGCACGTTAGCCTTCGAAACCCGGACAATTCTAGTCAATTCCTGATGTTCGGTCTGATTTCAAGCATATTTGACTCTAAGATCAATAGACCCGCAGGACTTTCGCCATTGCGCCAGCCCAAGCAACTTCACAATCCGTAGTCACGTATATATTCAGTTCTTCTCACAATTTTACGAAGATTCAACTTCACAAGATATGAGGTCAAGAACGCAACCGCCGTCGGCCTCACTTTTAATTCATCTGTGGTCGGTGCTGCAACTCCCACCGGATTTGCGGAGAGATTCATCCATTCAGAAGTAAGCCTACAATCCGGTGAAGGTTGACCCTTATCGACCTCGTTTACAGATATACAAAAAGTTCCCCGACGTTCTCGCAGTTCTTCATAGCCATACTCAAGAGATTCTCCCCTTCGCCAATCAAGCCGGGGTTCCTCTGGTCTCTCAGATGCACACAGTCATTTCTCCTTCAATCATAGCCTTCCTTGTGCGTTGACAATGTCTGCAGGCGCCCTCGCTCGGTTCATGCGGCGCCCCGATCTTCGATGTACGGACTCTGCCGAGGACTGTACTACCGGATAATCAGCTTCACGATCTACTCGTTCGGAACGAAGCTTTAGGAGACGCCCTCGCAAATACCTTCACAAATGATAGCCAGGTAAATTATATTCACTGACCTCCATGCGTCGCTAACTCTGCCTTAGGTCGTATTAATGCGGTATATATTATCATCGCCTTTTCTTCACAATGCTCATTCGGCGCAGGGGACACGGAATGGCCGTCCGCGCCCCGTCCGTTCGGGAAGCCGTTTTCAGCTCCTTTTACATCAAAGTGGACGCGACCGTCCAGCTTCAAGGCATCCTCCTCGGCGGTGGAACCGCCCCAAATGCGCTCAACCAGCGCGAGGTAACGGATACAGGCACCACAGCTCTGACATTGTCAGGAATCTCGTTTTGTTTTTCGATATTTATCGAGTTGACTTTGATTCAGGGTAGGAAGAGCGTGGTCACTCTGGGTGGACCAAGTGGATCAAATAGGGCTGTATACGAACGACTTGCGGAACAAGGCCGCTCCGTCGCCTACCGGCTTTTAATTTTTCTAATTTTTCGTGCATCGATGATCGTCTCACTTGAAATTGAACATGCACTTTTTTCACTCATCTGCACCGATTGCGATTCTGGCGGCGTAAATTGGAACATGAGTTTGTATTCAATTCACGATACTAATTCAAACAGTCTCAGAGAACTGCGAACGGAGGGTCCAATCGTCAACGAGGCTAAATATCAGTATTCAACGTTCTGACCTTCATTTCATGAGTTTGATTCAATGCACATTACTAATTCAAACAGTCTCAGAGAACTGCGAACGGAGGGTCCAATCGTCAACGAGGCTAAATATCAGTATTCAACGTTCTGACCTTCATTCCATTGAAACTCTTGCTAGAAACCGCCCCGGCGGCGTTAGACGAAGTATCCAACTAACTCCAATTTAGAATTGTATTCAAATACCAAAGGAGAGAACTCACTGAACGGTCCACCGACAAATTCGGCTCAGTCGTCGCTCGAAACTAGATAATGGTGAGAATTCTAAGGTCGACCCACCGGTGACAAACAAAGATTACCTGGAGAGCGGTACCACCAGGATTTATGTTGGACAAAGAAACTAGGTTGTTGTTGCGCCGGATGACCTCCCTGAAGTTGAGAGATGCGAGCAAGGAATTTGTATACACTGCATATATGATATCGGCCATAGTCGTGATTCGTAAGTAGGACACTCACACTCCCCAGACACGATGTTGAATGCGACGTGAACGAGATTGCCAGGCATTGCTAGAAACTACTCGAGATAATGAGATTCGCGGCCAATTTGTGGTTACTCGGCGCACACAGATCATGTCGATTAAAACACAGATGCTGTTTGAATCAACGAAAGAATTGAAATAAGCGTTCGGCTGAGGCAAAAGTGAATATTTGACTTACCCAGTCAGAAGTCCGGTGCTCATCGCATATAAAATAAGCTTATTCACAAGGGAGTCGGTAGGCCCCCGGTCACTGACATATAGGTCTGTAACATCCATAGAGTAAAACAACGTCCAATTTGAGAGGTCTATTTCGCGAACCAGCCATCTGACGGAGGTTTTGACTAGATAGGGCGATGCAGCTCCTCTAAACTAAGCGTTTGCGCGCATTTTCAGAAAAAAATGGTGGTTTTTGAAGCCGCCAGAGCGCCATCAGTGCCGAAAAATAGAGTAAATCAGGCCAAAATTCGGGTTTTCAATGTTACAGACCTATATGTCAGTGACCGGGGGCCTGAGTCGGTACTGAGATTCACGATAGGCATGGGATCAGAAAATAAAATAAAAAAGCTCACGTCTTAATTCCAGTTCGACTCTTTCTCAAGTAATAAGAAAGCGACAAGGCAATTAGCATGTCAGCCACTGAGGCAGAAGCCAGCGCCACGCTGGTGATCCGCTGGAAATTATTTCTGATAAAATCATGTTTGACTAGCAAGT